TATAATATAATTTATATATATGTATATATATATTTATTATATATATATAAAATACAAAATGAAAAGATAGAGAGGAGAGATTACATAAAAGAGAGATACAGATATGATTAACATATAAATACGTACAGATGATGAGGTAGACGTCGATGTATTATATGTACTTGACTGTTCAATTGTTTTCATATGTTTTTTATAATGTATTAATAATTGTGCAATACACATACACATCAGTAAGTATCAAACGTTAATCATACTGCTTAAGCATAATAAAAAAACATCTAAAAACAATCGGACAATCAAGTACATATGTTAATAATGAAAACTTATATACGGTCAATATACATATATATGTAAATGTAAGATAGAAAGAGTGAGAGAGAGAGAGAGAGAGACAGAGAGAGAGAGAAGGAGAGAGAGAAAGAAAGAAAGAGAGAAACAGACAATGCACAAAGAGACTCGCACAAGTAACGTTGATCATAATCATGGTGTCGTTATGTATGCTATGTGAGAGATCAAATGCAATCATATACACGAGTGGATTGAAATGTTTCGAGCATCAACAAAAAAGAGAACACAATTTTTATTATTTTTTTTTTTTTTAATAAAAGTAAGTTTGAGACCGGAATAAACATAGTTTCTAAGTTATGCTCGAAATTTTTCAATTAACTCACGTATGTATTTAGATATGTACAGTGAGTCATAAGAGCATTCGTATTCACCTTCACCGTTAATTTTAAATAATTTGCTTTTAATGCAAAACTTTTCGAATTCTTAATACATAGAGAAATGTATTTTCAAATAATTAAACTTTTAAATTGATATTAATTTGATTGCGAAAGAACATTTTATTGTCGGGGAAATATTATAAGTTGATATAAATGAGATAAGAAAATTGGACTCATTAAAATATTCGTACATATGCGAGAAGTAATAAAAATGCAATTATTAATATTTTTGTAATTGGGTTTTGCTATCGTTTGCATTTTATATTAATTTTTCAAACAATTGGTTGTACTCTCTTTTGTGAGACGAATTTTTATAATTTATGTAAAATAATATTTCTCTTATAATAAAATTATACTATTTTGTGTGGAATAAAATTGATGCCAATTAAAAAGTTTAATAAGCTCTGAATATTTTTCTATTTAGAAAAATTTTTAAATTATTGCATTGCGAGCAAATATCAATTATTTTAAATTAATAGTGGAAGAATGCTCCGCTATAACTCATTGAATATTTATATATATATATATATACACAAAATATACGAGCTCATCGTTCTCGATAATTGGATTAATTTTGAAATCAATTTTTTCTTTTCCCTGAATATCAACGATCAATGAGCTGATATATTATAACAATGTTTTTAAAAAAGTGTAAGTAATAAATATATTTAAAAAAAATGTAATGCTCGTGCGAGAATTGCATCCGAGGTTGTTGACGGATTGGTTGGTTCCTCTTGGTTGATTCGAAGGAATTTACGAGTGTTATTGATTCAGGCGGTGAATGTGACGAGTTTGTTGATGATTTTATTTGACAACGATTAATACAGTGACGATGCACAGAAAGAGAGAGAAAGAGAGAAAGAGAGAAAGAGAGAGAGAAAGAAAGAAGGAAACATATATATGTATGTACATATTTACACATATATATATATATATAAATATAAAAAAATAAAAGAAATGAAGAAATGAAGAGAGACGATAAGAAATGACAATAAGAGAAAGAGAGAAAATGACAGACACAGTGTGTGAGAGAGAGAGAGAGAGAGAGAGAGAGAGAGAGAGAAAAATAAATTTTGAATGAAATACAGGCAGACGATTAGACATAATGATGGTCGATTGAAAACACACGTTTATACTCACGGCTTCCGCGTCTTTTATCTCCTGTAAGACTCATCGTTCTGCTTAGTTCACCCTTTGCAGCTTTCAAAGTACGCAGACCTTCTAATATTTCTTCGGGATCTCTCATAGGCCTTGTGCAAGAACTTCGTCGTCGATCACGATTGTAATGAACGACGATAGGCATGTCTGCTTCTCCCATACTTCCACCTAAAATGATTTGAATTAATCAACAATTTTATTGGAATTAATTGATTGAGTAGTAGAATGATTTGATGAATCGATAGATCCAGTTAATCAATGATTTTTAGGAGATTCGATATTTTGATTAAATCCAAGATTCTATGGATGAGAATTAGTTAAAGATTTTAATGGGTTTAACGTTATTAGAACAGTCAATGACAAGTTTTTATTGGGATTGTTATGAGAATAAAGTTCTAGTCTATAATTAAAATAGTCTAATGTATGGTTCAATTAGTTAATCATTTACTAATTATAAGTTTAAATATCAATCAATGAAGAATTTAACGAGTCTACGCTTATTGATCACGACAGTTAATCATTTAACAAATTTACTTATCAGCTATAGTCAATAATTTCTACGGAATGAAATAGTCATTAATGAAAATCAAGGAATCCTAGGAGACTTTGAAGGACTTACGTTTGCTATCAGTTCCACATTGACTTTGGAAACTACTTCGACGACTTCCTGGTAAAGATCTACTGTAATCCCTATTAAGTTCATAGGGCTCGACCTCGAGTTGTTCCGATTGGCTGGAGCCACGTCTCGAATTGACGTGCCAGGCGTGATCGGGATGTAAGAAACCAAGTTCGGGACTTCCGCTGTCGCTTTGTGTGTCGTCGCTGTAACTTCTCTCACGTAATTCGGTCTTTCTCAGGAATCTTTGTGCAACTTCCATTGACAAGGAGCCACGTGGCGAGCAATATGGCGATTTACCAGAACGAAGACCTCGGGGATCCTCCAAACGATACCTAAACATCAATTCGAATCATAAATATCTACGCAACGAGACAAAATATTCTAGTTTTCCAATTGCTATTGCAATCACAATCAAAAAACTTACGTGTTTCATTTTATTCATTCGGTATTTAATAAAGAGTATGCGTCAAAAAAAAGTATTTGCAGCAATTTTGCTTACGTCAAGGTAAAAAAAAAAGGAAAACAACATAGGAAGGAACAAACAAGGGCTTAATTGAACTTACCAAACAGCTCGATCATTTTCCAAAGCCTTTGGTAATTCCACCGTACATTCACCGAGAAAGACGTTATCACCCTCGGGACAATAATCCCAAAGAGATACTTCGATCGCTCTATTCATCAGACTTTCACCGTCCACTCCAGGAAACAATAGGGTGGCATTCCAAATAGGGTTTTGGGTTGGTTCAGCCACCATTGTTTTTAATGTGATTTGATCTCCGCTAAATGGATCATTGAAGAAAATAAAATAACGTTTAATTACATTCTTTGTGACATGACGTTTTTCTTTTTTCTAGTTTTATTATTTTATAAATTTATATATGTGATACACACATATATACAATATATTGAAATAAAACGTTTTTGGAAATGTTGCCGTTTGGAATGGTAAATCGTACCGTGGCTGATGCTGAACGTACCAAGCTGGAGTTAGGATCAACTTGGCATACGCTTCAGGTAACGTTCCATAACCAGTATCTTCTCTGGCACATAATTCATCAGCCGTGAATACTGAGACGATCAATTCTTTCCTTTCGTTTTCGTAGGACACTTGAATCTGGACACGTCCGGTCACTTGTCTCTCTTTTAAGATTTGTTCCTAAAACGTTGAGTCAACATTAGATCCTAATAAACATTAATTTATTTCAAATTTGCTAATAGGATTTTCAACGATAAAGAGAAATAAGAAGAAGAAAAAAGATGACCCAGATATAACAATAATTGTTCTATTTGTCATCGTTTTTTTTCTTTTTTTTTTTTTTTGTAGCCAATTTGAAGGAAAACGGCCATCTTCCTTTTTCTCGTATTAGTTTATTTCCGAGACAAGCCAGTTAAAACATTTTAATCGCATTTTTGAATTGTCTTATTTCTCTTATTTATCTAATATCATCACTAAAACTACTATATAATAATAACTAATATCATTTCTCTAGTATATTTTTTCATGGAAGAAGAAAACAAATCAAGAAAGGGTAAATAAATATAGGACGCAGATCATTCGCTCATGCAAAAGCAGGTAATAATGAGATTGGATGAGACAAGAACGGAACTAATATCATCCTCTCTTTTTTTGTTTGTTTTTTGTTCTTTTATCTACTCGGGCTTTTCTCTACTTGTCCGTTCGGTGTCTAATTACGGGATTCATCAGTGTACCGACTAATTGTATATTGCAAGTGATTACCATGGAGAATCGAGTGGTATTGATTGTGATTGTGAAGTGGTGGGGGAAACTGTGGTCGAATATATTTAGTGAATATAATACAGTCAAGAAAAACGTTTTATCTTTTCACAAATTTATCTTTCGTTTTTCAGATTTTGTTGTTTCTTAAATTTTGTTTTAAATTATTCGCTACGATGGACGATTTATATCTTCTACGCTTAAAATCCTCTTCGACTTTCATCCCGAAACTTCTCCAAAACTCATCGGGTTCTCATCTTCGTTACGTTTGATCGCAATGGCGGCCGGCCATCTTTGTTATTACGTTGTCATTCTCTTTTTCATACTTTCTTTCTTTTTTTTTTCTATTACAGATAATTTCTTATTAGCGAAAAACATAAATCGTCTATCCTAAGTACTTTCTTTTTCTTTGTTTTAATCCTATTATAATTTTATTGTAATTATTATTTTAATTTTGTCATTTTTCGCGTTCCGTTTTCCCAGACTGTAGTAGTACTCGATTGACACTACTCTCAAATCAATTATTTCTTTACTCGGATAATTTTTGTTTTGTTTCAGGTGTCGGTATGTTTTTGTTTTAAAAAACATTTGTTTGTTTATTTCTTGCTAATGTTTGTGTTAAAACACTTGGAAAACTACGCAAGCGAGGTTATGCATATCAGATGACTGGCGACACTTCCTCGGCCTTACAGAGTCGGCCATTGTCTTTTTTTTCTTTCTTTCATTCTTTCTTTCTTTTTATTTTGGTTTGTTTGCATTTTGGGGCTGGGTAGGTGGGGGGAGGGAGGAGGATTGGAGGTCTGCTTTTTTCTTTATATCTTTTTTTTTTTTTTCTTTTCTACGTCAGCAACGTGCGCAACGAATATCGGATGCAGAGTAACTCCTTTTCACTTTGTTTTTTCTTTTTTTTTCTTTCTTTGTTTCTCTTGTTATTCAACTCTGGAACCGAGCATCTGGTTCTCCACGAAGCATGCAAATAAGAAGTTTTTATATTAAGTTAGCCAAGCAAAAATATTTTAGGGATATTCCTTTTTTTCAATTTTTTTTTTCCTTTTTCTTGAATAATTTTCTCTATTTTCCTTTACGAGGAAGAGAGAGAGAGAGAGAGAGAGAGAGAGGAAGAGAGAAAACGAGATGCTCGATAATTTCGTTCGATAAATTTTACAAATTTTGGACGGACCGACGTTTAAATAATTTTTACTTTGGTTTTGTTATTTTTTTTTCCTCCGTTTCTTTTTCTTTTTCCATCAAATAGAAAACGAAATATTAGGAGTAGTTTTGATTTACAAAAATAATTCGTGAGTTTCTTGAAGAATAAATTTTTTTCAAGCTTTCTATTTTGAATTGTTTTTCTTTTTTTTTTTTTCTTCTTCTAGCAATTTGTCTATTTTTCATACAAAAGATAGGATGATGTTTCGGGTGTTTTCGTTTTTACAAATTTCGGTTCGCTCGCGGAGAGTTTGACTTAAAAAATTGCGCTCGTCGACGAGTTTTATATAAGTTTTTCTTTTTTCATTTTTTATTTTATTCTTCTGATTATGTTGCTTTTCTCGAAAAGAATACGAATACATTTGGACAAGTAAATAATTGGTCGATTTAACCAGCTCCGATATAAAGCCATGATTTACGAAATACGACAATATTATCTGTACGTCATAATGTTAAGTCGTTAACTATAATTTTACATCGTTTAAATCTACGGGAGGAAAGAAATCCCTTATAAAATGTTATCACGCTTTTTTCTCCCTATATTGTTAAAAAAGAATGTAACGATTTATGATGAAAAATATATCAACACCATGCGCTCCTTAAAAGCCGAAGAAGAGCCGCGCAAGCGTATGACACCATATTTTGTTATTTTTGTTTTGTGAACAAAGTTTCAAAACACTCCTTCCTGGTATAATTATGTTTAATTAAATCTCTATTTTTCGTTTCATATATATATATATTTTTTTTAATTTAATAATAATAAAATATATTTTATACCAGAAAATAGCGATTTACGATCGAACGTCCATCAAATATATTTTTTTTTTCGTTATTACAACTTTCCTTTGTTTTCTTTTTTTTTTCTTTTGAAAATCGAAACATTAATATGCAAGAAATATTATTAATTTTTAATTAGAAAATTCTTAATCAATAAATAAATGAATTAATCACACATTATATGCCAAGAAAGGAAAAAAAAATTAATCAGGACGTTCGATCTGATTTCGTGTTGAACTCGTCTGTGTATACTCGCAAAATAAAACACAAAAAACAAAATCAAATGAAAACATATAAAAGTAATAGGAATTAAAGTACAGGCAGATAAGAATTAGAAAAAGAATTAGATCAAAACAAACGGGGAAGAAGAAATAGAAGAGAGAGAGAGAGAGAGAGAGAGAGAAAGAAAACGAATATCAGGAGGAATTCTACAAATCGGTCATCACAAAAAGTTACAAAATGGCGGACGAATTACGAAAGTACGAAAATGTTTGTTGTCACTGCTTTAATGTAAATGTATTGTAAACTCAAAATCTAATTCGAAACAGAGAGAGAGAAAGAGAGAGAGAGAGAGGGGGTGGGGTGGAGGGTGGTTTCAGGGGGCAAGAGGAGGTGGATCTAAACGCGTAAAAGAAAAAAAGAAGTAAGAAAGTAAGAAAGGGAAAAAGATTCTCTAAATAATGTACAACTAGATTTTCGTGCCAGTTGGGATAGAGTATATATATATATAATATATAGCGTGGAGGACCAATTATACTAAACTGGTTCAACATTGACAAAACTTACATTTCAATTTTCATAGCTCATTTTCGTCAGCGGGTCTATTTTTCTCTTTTTGTCTCATTAACTTAGTGCGTGCTTCATATATATTGTTCTTTTTTTTTTCTTTTTTTTTTTCTTTTTTTTCTTACGACAGGAATAAACAAACGGCAGGGTTTTCAAAAGGGCGAGGGTTAAAATGGGGCGGCTAGGGTAAAAGGGTTAGCTGATTGTACGGGGTGTCCTTAATTTAATTCGATCCTATATTTGATTTTTTAATTATAATATTTTCTTTTTCTTTTTGAAATAATATATATTGATATTATTTATTTCTTTCAAATAGATAACTTTTCACGATCGAAAATTTTTTTTTTCTTTACACTGCCGTCCGTGTAAAGTAAAAAACAAAGAAAATGAATATAAGAAAATAAAATTTATATTTGTTCGTAAAAAATCGAAATAATTAAGTAACACCCTGTTTTTAGTATACACATGTAACTATATTATAAATAATATATATATATATATATTTTTTTTTATATATAATATTAAGGGTAGGTAATACGACATAAACGAGCCGAGAGAAGGTATGAAAACATCTAATAATAATATACGTACAAACACGTATTCACCACTTTTTAAATGGAACATATAATAGTATGGGGGTTTTTAACGCATTGATGAGGCACACCGTGATAAAAACGCGATAAACACAGACGAGAAGAGAAGAGAGCTTCTATTCGAAAAGTTTGATATCCTGTGTGTTAAGAGAGGATTTTTTTTTTTTTTTTTTTTTTTTTTTTTTTTTCTTTTTTTTTAAAAAGACACACGTACTCGAGGAAATGACGAAACTTTTTCTTTTCGGGAATACCGAAAACGAGAGGAAATGGGTTTTTTCACTGGGATGGTTGAATCGGTGGTTGAAACGCACGGCTATGAGGGAGAGAGAAAGAGAGGGCTCGGGTGGGGTGGGGTGGGGGGTTAATGCATTCGGGTACGAGAAAGAATTGAATGAAGAGAGACACACACACGTATATACACATATGTATATATTATCATTATGTTGTGGCAAGGGAAAATATATTATTTTTGTTGATTTTTGCTTATTTTTTTCCTTCTCTTTTTTTTTCTGTCTTTTTGCGTTAAGAAAGATCGAGTGCCACGGCATACTTTTTTTTTTGTTTCTTATTTTTTTTCTTCTTTTTTCACAATTATTATTTATCATATTTTAATAATAAATTTAAACTCGAGCATGTGTGTGTGTGTGTGTGTGTGTGGTTACGGGTGTTGTTCCAAAGATACGGATCGTTCGTTATTATACGATTTTAATCGTTATCATATTTTTTTCTATGTATCTTCTCTTCCATTTCCAATTTCTTTTCCATCATGTCATATTTTTCTTATTTATTTCAATTTTTTGTCTTTTCTTAGATAAGTACAATAAAAAAAATGTTACGAAAACAAATTGATGATATATTCTCGTTTTATTTCTCATTTCTTTAATTCATTAAATTAATTGTAGCCTAAAAAATAAACTCGAGAACAAATAGTTTGTTGCGAGCGAGTAATTTGACGTGGAATTTATTATTCGTAATGAATAATACGAAGTTTGTTGACAAGAAAAAGAAATAAAAAAATAAAAAAATAAAAAAGAAAAACAATTATATTTTAATGAA